CCTCTGCAGCAGAGCGTGTTAGAGAAGGCGCACACATGGCCGAGGTTGTACAAAAAAAAAATCGAGGTGCTCCCCTGCCGTTGCTTGCCTCAACGCCCACTGCTGGCAATGGGCCTCCACTAAAATGAGCTCGAGAAGGGGTGTTTTGGCCTACTCTTCCACGCTGGCAAAGACAAGTTGGAAGTCGCGGGTGCATATACACAATTTAGCCAACGACACATGACCTTTTTCATCATGGGACCTCCTTTGCCAGTACCAAAATATACTAATAGGGATTTTCCCCTTTTTTCTGGCAACAAAATTAAACACATGACCTCTCGATCGACTAAGTGTGGGGCACCATTCATACCGCAAGCGGCTGGGGATTAGGCTTAGGCGGAAAAAAACAACTTTTCCCTTTGTTTCAACCTCTGCATTGCAAGTCCAGTGAGCTGCTAACCATTATACACTGTGGCAGCATCCCTCGAGTGTGAAAAAGAGGCAAAAAGAAGAATCTTCTACGTAGACCTGTTACATCACCTTCCGGTAGCCATTCACTCACGTGGGGGGGGGGGGGGGGGGGGTGATGAACTGTTAATAGAGTTCTACGTGGAAGCTATCCCCCTCTCTTACCATGATGCCCATAACTCAATTGGATTATAAATTGGAGCAAAGGGAGAAAAACATTATCCGAAAACCTTATACTCTCAACGGCTTACGAGCCGAGCCGGACTTGCTGCTTGGGATACTAACACAGAGTAGGAGTAGACTGAGTTCCTTTAAAGGTCTATTGCAACCGAGAACAGGCTCAAATTACACCCATAATGATGTCCATTGGTACAGTGCAGCAGCAGCAGCAGCCGCAGCAGCAGCCGCATGCGTTGCTTCAGGATAATAACATAAAACACGGTGCTAGTGTAAAATAAACGACTGTGCGAGGTCTACGTCCGGCAGTTGTACCAAACTGCAAATCAAAGAGACTTGGGACATTCAACGCAAACACTGCCTTAAAACAAATACATAATGGAGTGAGCAATTCAGGCGAACGCGTTTCTTCAGAGCTGTAGGAGTGTGAATAAGGTACAAACGTCCACGCAACAGCCAATTATATGTCTGTAATAATCGGTTATGCAACGACACAATCGTACGCATGAAAACGAATCATTGCAACATTTGTAAACTATATCTATGCAAACGCTAACGGAACAAGCAAAAAAACTGCACAGATCGGGAGAGAAAAACAAAAAAAATTTGAGAAGCAATTACAAGCGAGATGGTAGAACCGGTGAGAAATAAATCAATTAATCAACCAAATCATGACCGGGTTTGTGAAAATTGACGTGGCCACCAAGGGGCTGAATCATTAGAGGATGCCTAATTTTGAGCATACATAAGCCTATTTATACAGGGAGACCCATTTATAGATACCCCACCGATTTCTAATGATAATCGTCACTCTTCACATTGGCGGTTGAAAGCAACCCAGACGGTCTATGTTGAACAAAGCATATTGGGAGAATATTAAAATGTGTAATGAGATCGGTGGGAAACATGTAAAATTGTTTTCTGCAATGAATTCCTCTTGTTTTAGCAGGGTATCCTTACAGGGATCACCCTGTACATTTCACTGCAATCGTGCCGATTGAGTAATCTCTATTCAACACAATAAACAGTTAGTGTGGCGAGTCTCTGATTTGTGCCGTCTGGTGTAGTAGTTGTTTAATAAACTGTTGACCATTTATTAAGAGGACAGCTTTTCACAGACAGGCTATCGTGCTGTTTTTTGTGCGCGTAAATTCAGAACGCTACATTTTGCTCTGGCATGTCCCAAACCTTCTATTGATTACGCAGTAAATGCAGTGTCAAGAAAAAAAATAAACAATGGTTTTCGGCACCGGCTCAAATTCCTGGCAAACACGCGCAAGCAGTTTGAAACGTTTAGATAAATGAAACCACACAACCTACTCTACAACCACCACCACCACGACCACTCCTCCCCCAACGACCAAACCAATACCCACCTCTCTTACCGACCTAACAACCCCTCCCCTCTCCAACTCCATTCCCACCTAACCCCCTCCCCGCACCACCACCAACCTCCCCGACCCGGTCTCTTGGATGCCGGCCAAACAAAACAAACGCAACAAAAGCGAAACGTGAACTTGTATGGCCTGTCAGATTTTCCGCAGTGTCCCGATATGGCCCCCGTAGCCATTCTCCCATCTGTCTTCATTTTGGGCAACAACACAGAAAAAAGGGGCACAAGCCACGTAAGAGCATGGCGGCTGGGCGGCTTTGCATTAACAATCCGCGTGCAACGCTTGCACGGGCAGCGCTCACGTAAAAAATGAAAAAAAAACCGGTGGTGGATCGCGGCCGACCATTATCACCGCGCCATTAACACCTGTCCTGTTGGTTCTCGCGAGAAAAAATCTCAATCCCGGTGGACTTTGCGGCGGTGAGCATTGGTAAACCCACACTACTGTACCGATGAGCCCTATCAAGGACGAAAATTGATCTACAGTTGTCTACCAATCGCTGCCGTCGGTCGCATTGGCTCAAAGTCACGTTAAGAGGATAACAATGCGCATCTTCAGAAACTGCTGCCGATGGCATTTTTTGCACGATGCACAAAGGTCGAATGGGCTTTTTTTTGTTCACACAATTTTGTTGTTGTTTTTGTATTATGAATCAATCCCAGCAGGCCACAGAGACATGTTTGTTCTAACAAGAAATTTAAATCTTTCATTAGGATGTTTGGGCAAAAACAATTATACTGCATGTTTTCAGCGACACGAGTAATACACTGGAGAATCCAGAAGAAAACCCACGCAGAACAGGGAGAGAACATACAAACTCCACGCAAATTTGGGCCCGAGTTGGTGAGGAATCGAACCCAGGTTTTTCCTACTGTAAGACAAAAGTGTTTGCACAGCGTCCGTCACCCTGCCGCCATAAATATTAATGCCCTTCACTAGCCAGGTGGCTCAGCGGTAGAGGGCGAAGAGCTGGCAATCGGAACACCGAGTTCAAATCCTCATAGGGAGTTGACTCAGCCCATCATCACTCCGCATTATATGGTCTTGCCACAGGAATGTGGAATTTCCACCACTGTCTCGGGGCTGTAAACCAGAAAGAAGCACCACCTCAATACTCATTCGAGTAGGAGATCGCTTTTTTTTTGGCCCATTAAATTGAGCATTTTTGCTTAAACATTTCATAAAATGACGCTCAAAATTCCCCGAGGATAGGTTAGCAACCTAATTGGCGTGGGCGCCTTGAAAGCCCGGTGTCTCAAACATATCAGTGTGCGTTTCACCAACCTTACCTCCAAAGCGCTCGATTAACCAGGCGTATGCCAGCCACTATACCCAGCCAAATAACAACACCCCAAGTTGTAGAGATGTAACAATTCGCCACCCTGGATTGGAGTGACGATTCAAAGTTTGTTTTTGTGATTGTAATGCATGCAGCAGCTCGGTTATCCGAAACGCTGCTGTGAATCAATGTCATACAAGATACATGAATCAGAGATAATTAACTTTTGGATCCAAGACCCTACGCATAACATTAAGAGTCCAATTAATCAATTTCAATCAAATAAATCGTTAAATCCCTACTTGGGAAGGCGGCAATCCAATTAGCATGCCTCACGCGCTATCGTTCCACAGGTATTCTTCTTTGAACACAAAGACCCCATTATTGCATGGGGTTGGTTGCTAAAAACTAAAATATTTCTCCACATGCTGCTATTCTGGGTCTCTCGTCACATCCACTATCCTCAAATCTCCTCCCACCCCATCCTTCCATGTCACCCTCAAGTCTCCCCCCCCCCCCCCTCTCTGCTTCTGCCCTGCAAGCAGAATCTCAAAATTCCTTCTAAAATATACAGAGTTTATGCTATAGTGTCTCAGTCACGCACCAAAAGCAATATTTTTTGAGTACAAAGATTATGGATACGCCTGTGATAACGTATAAAAATGCGTATATTAAGACGTCTGGCCAGCGTGGAAGAGTAGGCCAAATAACCTCAATGGCCTCTGTGGAACTCCCTCTATTGAGGGCCATTCTGCCAGCAGTGGTATAACCAAGCAATTGCAGGGCATCAACAATACAATAACATGACAATTATGGTCGGAACGCCATCTTAAAAAGTGTACGGACAAATTGCGCGGCGCGTGCATCTCTCTTCGCAATGAGATTTGGTGGACCATTATTATTAGTATACTACGCCCGTTAACCCAGCAAAGCCTCACCGAGTCTCACAGACTCTTTTTCATGAAGGTCCTCGGCTTGGTTTTCGCAGCAGGGTGGGAAGATGATTGCCACGTGCAATCCGAACTGAGCAATTCGTGGGCAATTTTTCAAATTTGTTACATTTGGGACCATGACGTCGGAACACGATGGCCCGTTCTAGCATATGCCGTCACGTGGTCTTTCAAACGTCCACTGTGAAGGAGACGGCGCGTAGTAATATTTAGGGTTGATACACCCCGAGGTATTAATCAGGGTGCCTGCTGGATTAACACATTTCTGCGGAGGGAGCTGGTAGGAACGTTGGGTTGCTCTGTCAATGGCCAGGGTCAACGGCGGCGTGGTGTATTCCGCAAATATGCCCGACTGTGAGGGCGGGAACAAGCCGGTGTGAGTAGGTTAAACGTTGAGTTTTATAAGGGCACCACGGGGTGACCAGTCCCTCCCCACCCAAACCCCACCCCTCCCCACCCAGCCCCTCCCCACCCAGCCCCTCCCTGCACGACGGACGGACACAATAATCCCCTGTGGGCTGGTGTAACCAGGAGGTTCCTACCAGTATAACCGTGCACCCCCCGTGAATGCGTTACCCTGCTAGACCACGTCACCGCCCATGTCACGTGGTTACGTTACAATTAACGAACAGGTAAACGACAGTGGCGGGGGGGGGGGGGGGGAAACACGGCGTATGCGACACGGCGTATGTGACACAATACAAAACATATTTGTGATGACCATAAACAATGCTGTGAGGGTCTACCACCTACCTAAGCCGCTGGTGCCTCTGCCACCACCTTGGGAGAGGGGATGTGCTGAAGAATGCTGACTGTTGACACCAGAGGAGGAAGAGGGCGAATTGGAACAGATGCCGGCATTGCCCGCAGCAGCTCCCTGTCAAGCAAGGAAGAACAATCATGCACACGCATCATTTCTGTAAAGCTTTACAACGAGCATTCGTCCCCGGAAGTATTTGTTTTAGTTTAATGAATATCGTCAGGATTTGGGGAACTCTTAAAAGTTAATTTGGCTGGTGAGTCGCGAATAGCAACACCGCTTGAAACGGAAGTTTACTTCCAAATGCATTATTTTGAAGCCCCAACCCTGCTGCGGACAAACTGACAGAGATACGACATTAAGGCATTCAACAGTAGTTGTAAAGCGTTAAAAACTGAACACGTGCTAACGGGACTCACCCACATAAATACAATGCAGTGTTGTTGCCGGAGAGGGTGATTGAAATTGTACATTCTTAAGATGGCCAAGTAAGGACCAAGACTATATACTTCCCATTAACATTGCAACAATGTCAATGCATCATTTCAACAACGCACTACGAGTGCCAAGTCTCGTCTTCACTATCCAACACAATAATCACAACATTAAATGTCCTAAACCCTGGAAGCCTGGCCCATTTACTGCATAACTGTATTTCCTCTTCGCTTTTATTCAATTTGTAACAAGGCATTCGAAGGAGGGGAGGAGGCCCTGCGCATGAATCATCACTGAACCGGCACCATGTGGATAGGGAGGTCACTCGGACACAAGTCAAATCCATCTATATGCGATGCACACACGCAGCGCAAGAGGCCCCCCCCCCCCACCTCGGAGCGCTGCATTACGCCCTTTCACGTCTTGACAATGAAAATATTTGAGCGTTAAAAATCGTCTCGTCAAAAGCCGGCGCTTCCCCGCCGCTCAACCCAGCAGCGTGGGGTGCGGAATAGGTCCATCGGCAGCTCCTAGGCCCAGCGGTGAAATGTCCACGTAATTGTGGCAAGTACGCAGTTTGACCGACTGCCGTGTAAACAAAACACTTTTTTTTACCTGGAGAAACAAGATGTAGGAAAGAGGGTGGCGTATTTGCCTGCTTATGTATTTTGTCTGTGTGATGACTATACGCTGGCATACAAGATAGTAATTATGTTATGTTTCATACATTCAATAATTGGCTGAAAACATCTTTATGAATAAAGAATGTGGGCAATTGGTGGTGCCGGCCCGTCGCCTGGTTTACTGCCTTCCGGCTTGTACGTGGCTCCCCGATGATTGGGATAGATTGGGATATATAATTTGCATGAATGACGCGATATTTACACCAAACATTATTATTACAGTGACCGTGGAGGAATGATGATGGCCTGAAAATATCAAGCACCAACAGAAATGAATGCTGTGATCTCAACAGAGCACGCTGTGGTTACGTAACAAATGTACGCTCGGCAACGGAGCGACGTGACCCGACAATGAAATGAGTTTATTCTACCACAAGTAACCGTCCACCTTTTTCTAAATCAAACCGAAACCATCAAATTGTGCGCAGAGCGATACGGAACAAATTTTACAAAGCAGGAGCACATCTCATTTTTTTTCTTAAACCCTCAATTTTCCGGCAAAATTCCTCACCAAATTTTAAAGACCCAATCCAAACAATAAATGTGCTCTATTATTGTTTTTTTTACCAAACACACAATCGATCCATTGCTAATTAAAATAAAATAAAAATATTTTACCAGGTAAGGCTATATAGCTCTTTTTCAGAAGCGACCTGGCTACCACATATGACAGCTCAACAAAGTGCCTTGTGTTGAAAATCATAGCAGCCAAATATACACTTATATTTCTAAATGTGGAGGGGAAAAAAACCAGAGGACCCGGAGAAAATACACACGACCACGGGCAGTGAAACACGCAAACTCCAAATATACAGCAGGCGTCAAGGGTTGGGATCGAACCCACGACCTCCTGTATACGAGGCAAGGCAGTTAACATCTCACCACTGCGAAACCCTTCCTACTCGCCTCTCTGAGTCTCGTGTATTATGCTTCTAAAAGAAGAGCCATCACAAGCACCACCCAGGCTCAACCCTGCTTAGCATCAGAGGTCTGACACGACCGGACGCATTTCCGGCCGATTCTGTGACAGGACCCTTTTAAAATCCTTTATATTAAGTTCACTTGCGCGCTTGCTTGCTTACGACCGTGCAAATCTTTCGGTCGTTTTTTAACCCACTTCCCGTGATCCAATCGAGCTGACATTTTCCACACAGACTCGTTGTGCGTGACAATTAATGTTCGTGAATTTTTTTTTCCAAAATTGTACACTTTTTAGGACAAAAATATTATATTTAATTAACAATTGCTTAATGGTGCCATGCAATCATCTGACCCATAGATGGCAGCCATCTCAAGCCAGAGGACGAGAGGACTCTAGCCGCCACGCATATAAAGGATTTATAGTGAAAAACTTTGTTTTTACGGGTTATACTTGTTATTGATCCCTGCAGCAGCCAACAAAACCTGCTTTACACATCCCATAGTGGTCACCCGTCAAAGCAATATCCAGGCTCAAGTTTTCGAGATGCGACAAGACTGGGCGCATTCTGGGCAATTTGGGTCGCAATAAGTCTTTTTTATGCTCAACACACCCCCCCTTCTTCTTGGTTCTTTCGGTAAAGTCACGTAGAAGGGAAATAATAAAATAAAACATAATAAAATAAAATTCTCACGACGTTTCGGCCACAACGCAAGCAGCTGTCCTCAGGTGAAGCAACTTACGATTGTTAACGTCCCGCACAAATGTGGCCAGTCGGAGCTGTGGCAGAGCACCAAATTGACAATTAGAAAGCAGCTCCCCCCCCCATCAACAACACAAGGTTCTGCTGCTGCTTACCTGCACCGCCATGGCACTGCCTGTAGAAATGACGGCTTGCGTCGAAGTGCCAGCGCCAGGCAGAATCTGTCCACGCTTCAGAAGCTGCTTTTGCTCCTGCATGCGGAATCTCGGCGGCACTTCTCGCGTAGGAAACCCACGCTGTTGCTGCTGCTGCCCCTGTTGCTGCTGCTGCCCCTGTTGCTGCTGTGGCTGCCCTGCCAATGCCTGCAGCTGCTGCTGCACCGACTGCTGCTGCTGCTGCGACTGCTGCTGCCGCTGCTGCTGAGCTCCGTTGCCGGCGAGCGCCGAGCGTTTGCCCGTGTTGCTGGTGGAATTGTTGTTGTTGCTGCTGCTGCTGTTGTTGTTGCTGGCTCCGCTAGTGCTGCCTCTAGTGCTGTTGTTGCTAGTGCAGGAAGTGCTGTGGCTGGCGTGATTGCCAGCAGGCTGCTGTGCACCGGATTTGGTCGGTTCTGGCACTTTACGTGACGGCAGACAGAGACACAAACAGCAAAAACAATGGATGTTCAAATTATCTATTAATACCAATAACAAAAAAATCCAACACATTTGTCCATTCAAGCACTAACCAGGCTCGACCCTGGCCTCACGCGTTATTTTTGTGCACCAATGCCAAAGCAGTATTACAAACATTACAAATTCGATATATATAGCGTCTAAATACCAACTGCCCATCGAGATGCTGTAATAGCCACAATAGCTTTGTATTCATCATCACCGTTGTTGTTAGGCATACATTGATTATTGAGTCCAATAATTAATTGCTTATAAAGTTTATAGCCAATTATATACCAATGCACCTGTCGGCTAATTCACCGAACAAATCACAAAAACAGAAATCATGAGAGTGACAAATACGAACAAGACAATTAAAAAACAAGACGAAAAAAAATAATGATTCGTGATTCAAATCAGGGCACTTAATCCAATCGTTGGACTACTGCCTGAAAAAAATATAGCCTATAATTATTACATAGTTACTTTTTAAGGCAGTGTTATTGATGAACGAGTTGAGCTTTTTCCAATCATTGGAGGGTAAATTGTTATATGCCAAGCTGTTGATATGCTAACCACTTACTACAATGGCTTATTGAAGACCGTTGTCCCCAAGAGCTCACGATGCTAAAAGCTCTGCCTACTTTTTAAAAGCACGAGCGATATTTGATGAAACGCTGACCAGAAACGCCTTTATGAGCTTAAACAGTCTAGTGACATAAGCTAATTAAAAGCCGCAATGTGCCAAACGTCTCTTTAAAAAAAAAACACACGGTTCAAAAAGCCACCGTGTATCGTGGTTACAAAAGCAGAGAGAATTCACCGGGGCTCTTTTTAGCACAAAATTTGTTAACCCATTACATCCGACCTCTGAACTAAAAATAAGCCCCTGGCAAGTCACGGACAATGCACAAAAAACGTGTCAGGACCACGTAAACGTGTCCAATGGTGAGGGCAATGAAAGGCAAACACACGTGAGTGGCAGGTGTTGGGGCGTATTATAGCTTCGGCCCCCGTGACCTTTCCACATTAAACATAAAATCTCGGGCGAAATTGGTGGGTCATGAACCATCCGTGACGTGTTTTTTTTTTGCTGAAGATTGGTCACACCGTTAAAAAAGATTTACGGCATTCAGATCAGGCACTGCTCCATTTCGCCCAGTGGGAAAAATCAATGCCATTGATTGTAATTTATGAATTGAAATCAGCACTGCAACTCTTAATGCATAACAGCGCGCAGACGTCCGTCTTCGCTGCAAAACTCACATTCGTCAGCGGTGCCTTATAATGAAATATATATATAAAATAGGCAACAATTCCACCAATGGCCCTTCTTCATAGCACATGACATTTAAGTGGGTTTGTATGTAACAGTAAGCAAGGAGAGAGGCCCCGGGGTAGGGGGGGGGGGGGATGACTTCGCAACACAAGACTATGCTATGATGAAACTGCCAAGCGCAGAAACGCATGGAAACACTGGCGTTTTCGGAACGCCGTTCGAGCGGTTAAAAACGCGCACTCCATTATTGCAATTAATAGAAATGAAACAAGATTTTATGGGACATCAGTATCATGAGCGTTTGCGATGATGAAAACGAAGCAGCGCACGGCCGTAAAAACGGAGAGAACGGCCGCATTCCGCTACAAACACTCGAAACGTTAAGTGGAGTGGAAAAAGACCACAAGCTGCCAAAAAAGCCAATCCATTAAAGGAGCCTCCATTTTGTAAAGGGTATTCAACTGTACAAAGAAACATACGTACAAATGGACGCACGCGCTTCATCGAACGTGCATTTGTGCGTAGCACAATTCTAATCATTTTTGTTTTAAACCTTTGCTTAATAAAGTCCTTCGTTGGCAATAATCTCGCCCCCTTACCCCCCCCCCCCCCCAAGGAAAATAGAGATGTGGGTATCGGGTCTTAGAGAGCTGTGTCGTACGTTTCGTAGTAAGCGGTTTTGGGGAGGTTATATAATTTTCCTGGGAAAATATGTGAAGTGTCCGGAGTGGATTGATGAATGAATGGATATAGCAATGGCCATATTTTTCAGGAATCTCATTAAGAACACTTCTCTAAGCTCCCCCCGCGTCGCCTGCCGCTCGCCCCCCACCCCCCACAAATGTGACAGCACACGAGCAAGCTTTGTTTTCTTTCGCTAAAGGCATGACGACATTGCAACATCATTAGCAATGGCAGGCTACTACTGTGCATCTGACACGGTGCCAAATTGGCCCGTTTGCAATAACTACACTGTACTAAATATGCTGACGCAAAGTACCTTGGTTGATTGCCCACTGGTTGTGTGTGTGTGTATGTGCAATATATGTTCGTGCGCAGAGGGAGAGAATGTTTTCAAATTGGTTGCAATTACTTTATTAAGAGAAATGAACAGCAGAGATGAAATCCATTGCATACAGGATATGCTACTGTGCAGAATCGAGAAAAATGGTTCCCTCTTGACTAAAGCTGCCACTTAGCAATAATTGCATAAAGATGACAAATTAGTAACTTGAAAATGTTTTGGTGCAAATGCTGCCCTGGTATATTTACCTTTTGGTTTTTGTTCCGTTGCCTAACAAAGACACACAGACACCCACGCAAAATGTTAAGCACGGCTAGCCAGACTTTTGACAACAGTTCATCAATATATATATTTTTTATAAATATCGTAAATAATCTACATAGTACAACATCGCATTACATCGCCGTGGACACGTGCGACAGTTTGCGATGTATGCGAGACGAAGGCCACATTACTGCGTGTGAAGCCTTCGGATTTTGTGAACATCCATGGAAAAACGACAGCCACAACGCTGACATACTGCGCCAAGGCGCTGGCGGTCGGGGCGGACATGTGACGGTCGGATACGCGACGTTGTTTTAAAACCAGATGTAAAGAATTTCGCCATTTTTACACGTGAAAGGTATGGGTTCGCGCATATCTCAGCACGATATCTCTCTCCCGTGTGTTATGTACCTTTTTCATGGGGGCTTCTTTCTTCTTCTTGTCATCTTTCTTCTTTTTCTTATCATCCATCAACTGCTGCTCCTCACCTCTCCAGTCCGCCTCCTCCCTGTCCCTGTCGGAAGTCATTCAAGCGCGGGCAGGGGGTCAGTGGCGGCGGGAAGAGGACAGAAGAGAGGAGGTGAAGAGCACGGCACGGGTCAAACTAAAACTAATTTTTTGATTTTACCAAGTACGACCCACTGAGTTATCGGCTCTTTTTTCAGAAGCGACCTGGCCACAAATGATAGCTAAACGAAACGGCTTATTGCTCGTAAATATATAGCAGGCAAAAACTCTAAACGCGTGTTGATTCGAAATGTGGAGGGGGAAAAAACCAGAGGACCCGGAGAAAAAGCCAAGCGACCACAGGGAAAGAGATACGCAAACTCCAAAATATACAGCAGCAGGCGTCAGGGTCGGGATCGAACCCACGACCTCCTGCATCCCAGGCGAGAGAGTTGACACCTCACCACAGCACAAATAACTATGCAATGTCAGACCAAATAGTTTAAAGGGATTAGAGCTGAAAAGAGGCATTAGGGAGGCATAATCATCACGCAGCACTTTTTAATGTTTCCCATTCTCACCGTGCAGAAAGTGAAAAGTTGGTGATTTGCCCACAGCTCAACTTACGAGGATTGTTTAATACTAACAAAAATTTGTTTATTAACAAATGTGATGTGTTATCTTGCCGGGTGGCCATGTAAGCAGAGTGCTAAGCTAATGCGAAGGCTGCGAGCTTGAATTTCAACAGTTACTTGGGCGAACTCATCTTCACTTCCCTCTCCAGGATTGATGAACGTTTACAGTGGCTGTCTTATGGAGAGGCAGGCTACCTGGTGCACAAATTCCAACTCTGCTTGAGGACCAAATGGTGAAGATAGACCTCGCATAACACTCGTTTTAACAGGGAGATATTTTGATGGCTGCTCAACGCAAATTATATTTTCACACCCGCGCTACGTGCATGTATTGAATCCTGTGTTTGAGAATTATTTACAAAATCATGCCGAGTTGTCACCTTTAGGCCAAAAGAACGTAAGAGGCAGAACGCAGATCACACGAAACAAAAGCTAACGTTACATCCATAACACAGTTTTTTTTGGGTTAGATCGCATAAATATAAACGTGTCGTTAAACCTGCCACCACCCAACAGTCAATTAGTAAGGTTTGTCACCTAAACAGAAGGTGCCAATTCGTTACTAGTACAGCACTGGTGTGTTGGAGTAAATCCACAACATTTACAATCTCAGTACGATGTTTCTCCAGTAATTACAACCAGCATCATCAGGCGACAGCCAGATCTGTTGAGAAAGCCTCCTGTTTTTTTCTTAAATAGGGGGGATAGATGCGATTTCGTCACTTGTGGGCTCCTTGAATTGTAGGCATGTAGCTAATGCCACATGCTGACAATTCTCGACTAAATGCTTACATTCAGGACGGCAATGGGTGCCCCCGACCACTGTAAAGAATGTCGGTAAGATACCGACATTCTTGACAGAGGTAGAATATCAGTACATTATTCACATTCTTTTCGGACTCAAGAAGCAGAAGAAAAAAACCTCAAGGTGCTTCTCGCACACAAGCGAGATCTGTGGCTAACGGATCCGGAATTTCACAAGCAATAACATCGCGTAGCTATAACAACACCGTATTTAGTTTGTCGAGGGGTGGGGAAGAAGGAGGAAAAGTTTGCAAGAGTAGCAACAAGCCGCAAACTGTGTCAAACAGGAAAGGTGGCGGCAGCTGTTTGCACAGATGCCGAGTTCCAGTGCAGTTTACTCAAACAAGCAGGATGCGCTTTTAAGTAGTCTTCATCACGGTCCACTTCAATCCGCCGCAGCCATACACACTCGTGAATAGATTGGGTCCATACCTGTGCGATTGATTGCATGCAACTGCAACCAGTTGTGAATAACTGCGCAACCGGTTACTTAGAGGGACTCTGCTTTCGGCGATTTGCAGCGACACGCTTCATTTCGTGCACGTGCGACCTAGGATCCTGAATACGCCATTGAATTTCCTTTTTGAGAAACTACGTACTCAGATGTGGACAAAGCAGTTGCAGGGGATGATTTGAGTTGTGAGATTTCGACAGCGATTCAGTTCTGAAACTCATGGCTCAAGTGTGGAGATGGCTCGAGTCCAAGTGTGTATGCCAGTGTTCTTCATTGCAAGGCCCGCAAGACTTCTGGTGGCATTTCGTGTGGCCCCTGACAACACTACAAATTGAAAATACCGCCATCGTGCTTTAAAACCCCAACGGTTTCAAATGTGTGGGTGGCGCTCGCAGTGATTTCTCATTGGCGAAAATGCCCCACCCCCCCATCTGAAAATCAGTGAAGAACACTGGTCTACATCCTCAAGCAAGTGCAAAACATTGCTCATCTCCACTCCCAGCCCCGAGTTGTGGTAATTTCACGTTTCTATTCTACTCTGGATATGATGGGCTGAGTCGACCCCGGACAGAATACGATTGCGAGTTGACGACTTTGGCACAATGCCTCCAGGGGCCTCTGTAGACATTTAATGTATTTCCTCGCAAATACGATCAAATGTTAGTGTCGTTATGAAACGCAGGCCCCTGTGCTGGTTTAACCAATTGAGTGGTCACGTTTAGTTAAAAAAAGAGACAACTATAATGCTAATGCCACATGAATGAATTCTTAACAAGCATCACCCTAATGTCATTACTTTTATTTATCTGTACGAAATTCACGTCAAATTAGCTCCTAATTGCAGCACGTGCGCCCAAATTACGTGTGATTGAACTTAATGTATTTGCACTCATACGCACAGCAGGTCAGGGTAGCAACCCGTAATTGGTTTTTTTTTCCCAGCCCCTTTTAGAAAAAACCATGCAGTCACCCAAAAGTGTGCCCCACCACACACTTAAGTCTCGCTGCCAGGGGCAATATGCAAGATTTTAATTCTGAAAACGGTGCTGGCAAACTCTGCGATCTAGAAGGGTAAGCAATTCCCCACAATGCATCGCTCCCCAACTGGGGCACCACGGTAGCGAGATGTCAACAAACTCGCCTGGTATACTGGAGGTCGTGGGTTCGATCCCAACCCTGATGCCTGTATATTTTGAGTTTAAATATTTTCCCCGTGGTCGCGTGGATTTTTCTCCGGGTCCTCCGGTTTTTACCTCCACATTTAGAATCAACGTTACGCATTGTAGAGTATTTGGCTGCTATAAACTTGCACGTGATGAGAAGCCCACTTCAAGAAACTTCACAAGCCAGACTTAATCCGTGTCGAAACGTGTCGGGTGCTCTCGGTTTAAAATGTAAAATGGATTTGCCCTCCGGCTGTACTGGGCCATTTTTTAAAAATATATATCGCAACCCAAGTGATGCACTAATGCCTGCTGCTTATCTTATGCAAGCTGTCAGAGGCAACTAGCAACATTTGGATGTGATAATGGACACCGATGCCATTAGCTTGACTAGATTTGGCAGCACAATTGTTTGGCACTGCAAAGGTCTAATACGACTACAATCCAGAGCAGAGTGGGTGCAGAGGCTTCTATGTTTCGTCACGAAGGGATTGATAGACGGTGCGGTCATCACCAGGGCAGTACTGCTCAAAAGGCAGCCAAAGGGACAGTATCACGCACGGTATATTATTAGGCAGCCGTTTTGTCAACCCACTGCTGGATGAGGGCTTACCCATGGAGTTGTGGGGTCACGGGGGGAGGGCGGTTATCTGACCGTACTTTGTCGCACTGGTTCGCCCTCGGCTTGCCACACCAATAAGAGCCATTCAATTGAATGTATTATCGACTTTTAAGGTATTACATTATTGAAATCAGGGCCACGGTGAACAATAGTATAATATATAATGCATTGTAAGAAATCAAAGTTGTTACAATTTCACTAAAAACAAAATGTGTTGTCGTGTAATAACGCATGATATATTTTACATCGATGCTGGATTATAGTACTGTACAGTACTTAATCATGTACAATTATTATAACTAGCTCGGCTGACTACTTCGTAAGCCAGCAGTGGACAGGTTACTCGAAGTACAGAATACCAACGAGAAAAGTACTGAACACAGTCAAGGCGTTATGTCATCGGTTTCTATCAAATAATTATATCATTCCATAATTTAAATGCAGACTGCAGCACACAGATTAATTTACATTGCCAAAAATAGACCAATAACCCCATTGTCAATCCACTGCTGAATTGTTGGCGAGTCTTATGGCGTAAAGTATCAGATTATAGCATTAAATAACGTGACAAATCCCACCATTCGTCGAATTAAGATGTGGTTGCATTGAGACACTGTCAATCCAAATTGTATTGCAATTACAGGAGCGTGAAAGATGGCACAGGGAATTGGGGAGGCATTCATCCAGCAGCTGATCGGCCACGGCTGATGATAATTGTAATCTAGTCTCCTGCCATGAGAATGTGGAGTTTCCACCAACGCAACGGAGCACCCAAAAATAAATAAAAATCCCTTCAATTCCTGCAGTGCATTTAACAGCCACCCCATTCTCTATCCACTGCTGTTCGTGCAGACAGCATCACCTGCTCTACAGTAGTTATCGCTCCATCTCTCCTACATACGTATTTATGCACATTATCTTTAATTGCAGTGGCTAGGTAAACAAAAAATTGAGTAATAATCATGCGATTAAAGTCAGAATATTACCGCACCGGCATTAAACAACCACTGAATAATGTACTGCATAAGAGTCCGATTAAAACAATTGTATAACCAAATCATTGTTATTTTTCTTCCCAAAAAGCACATCAAATATATATCATCATCATGTTCAGCCATGGTCAATCAACTGCTGGATGAAGCCCCCCCCTCTCCCGCTAACACCAAACATTCTGCGATGTTAGAATCCGCCCAGAACCTGGCTTCATCTCCTCTCGATATACGTGACAATCACTGAAAACACTTTGACGTTTTAATACAACAGTGAAATACACAATTCGATTTAAAGTAGCGATGTGTCCGTCAGTCACTACTGCACCGCTATTACATTACACAATGTACAGTACACACACCGTAAGAATATTATGATCGGGGAAGGAAAGAAGAAAAA